AAGGAAACTTTGTTTCCTTTGCTCCTATAAACAAACTCGCGAGACTAGCTTATCTCAGAGGCGCGCGCGCTGCGCATACGTCATCCACCGGAACGGCTTCCGCATATGACAGATAACGGAAGTGAGAGAAAAGTGTTTATTATGTTTGAAATATCATGGATATTTTTCTTACACAAATTCATGGATTCGCTACAAGAGGCCTTTATTCATCCCCCGGAGCCGTGTGAGGCATGTTTTATTATGGATGCACGCACTTTATTTGACGTCTTTTAAACTGTTCAACAGAAACACCCACCCACTGCAATGATAGAGCATAGAAGAACAAGAACAATTTTTAATATAACTCCGACTGGATTCGTCTGAAAGAAGAAAGTCATATACACCTAGGATGCCTCGAGGGTGAGTAAAACACAGGCTAATTTTCATTTTTGGGTGAACTAACCCTTTAAGGGATAAAGGCATATCAATGATTTATAGATTAATTTTAATTGATCAGAATCAGATATCACATTAGTAGTTTACGGTGTGTATTTATGTTTGATCAGACTGAATTACAGTTGTGTGTAAGATGTTTTGCTGTGCTTACTATCCAGGGCTACCTTTCCTAATGAGTTGGTGCACTTATACAGCATTTTACCTATTCTGTTTTAACAGAGAATATATTGCCATCTAATGCTTCGTGCTGTTTGGTCAATGGCTACTACACTTCAGATCAACACTATTGATATCCTTGTAGTAGATGCTGATGCTTAGAATAGAAACACTAAGTGGACAACGCCTTAAGGCAGAAACTAATGTTTATACTCGTCTACATTTTGTAGATAACTTTGATAGAAAGGTATGTAATGGATTAGAATCAACCAAAAATTCAGACAACTGTTGACAATATTTACATAACTATCAATACTTTGTTGACCAGTTACCAAGCAATGCTTAATTTCTGTGGTGTAAAAAGGTCACATTAGCAATTAAAGAAAAACACTTCAGCAAAACATGGTCAGGTCAAAGTGTCTGTATAATTTTTGGTCCCAAATTTGTATCAGTTTTACTGGTAGTCCACTGTATGAAGAATATGTCACAGTTTACTTTATTTTGCTATCCTCGCTTACATAAATGAACAATAGTGTCCTGCACCCACTAGTAAAAAAATATCAAAAATGATATGGTGTCTGAATCATTTTTGGTTTGACTGTATGTCAACATAAGATAATGTAGTAAAAAAAAAGTTACATATTGACAAAATAGCTAACAATAAAAAAAAGAGCTTAGTTTTCCCAATTCTTATAAGAAACAATGGTAACTGGATTGGTAAAAAAAAAATCTTACAGGAACTGGAAGCTCATCATCATAAGTTATTTTGTTAGTAGCTGAATGTGTGTTGTCTAACATCTTACCGATAGGTGGCATCTTCGAGCTAACAAAGCACGCCTTAAAGCTGTTGCTCTTCTTGAAAAATGCCGGTTTCCTCTCCTCAGGAAATGAAGTTTCACCAGAACGAAAATGAACAAGACGGAGTACATTTTGGTTTACCTCAGGAGTCAACTCGAGGATACTGACTGCAAACCCGCCGAAATAATGTTTTAAAATAACGTATGTTCATACACTTGTGTAGGTTATCATTGACCATTATCTCCTATATTATTTTTTAATGAATTTATTTTTCATTTCATTTAATTTTTGTGTTATATTTATATTTTATGAACAAATAAATGTGGCAGACAGTTGTTTGTATTCTTTTATTTTTACATATAATAAAAAAATTTACATGACTGTTTTTTTCCACTTTTTAATATCAAATAATACAATAAACGTGACAAGCGAACAGTGACACTCAATTCATAAAGCAAAACAATCCAATATTACAGATGGGTAGGCATATGTTAATGACGGAATTGTCCACGGACTCTGGCGCATGCTATTTACGTCTGAATTCGCTCACTTGTTTTCGTTCACTCTTTGCTGATATAGTGCACTCCACTACCATGCACTATACAGGGATGAGTGAACGAGTGAGCGGTTTCAGACAGAACCAATGTCAAATCAATGGGTAACAAATAAATGTGGCAGACAGTTGTTTGTATTCTTTTATTTTTACATATAATAAAAAAATTTACATGACTGTTTTTTTCCACTTTTTAATATCAAATAATACAATAAACGTGACAAGCGAACAGTGACACTCAATTCATAAAGCAAAACAATCCAATATTACAGATGGGTAGGCATATGTTAATGACGAAATTGTCCGCAGACTCTGGCGCATGCTATTTACGTCAGCGTCTGAATTCGCTCACTTGTTTTCGTTCACTCTTTGCTGATATAGTGCACTCCACTACCATGCACTATACAGGGATGAGTGAACGAGTGAGCGGTTTCAGACAGAACCAATGTTAATGGGTTTTTTGAATGGGAGTTTGATTAAATCCCCTAAAATATGGGCCGTGGTTCACACAAGCTCAAGACACTTTCACATTTTATTCTACGTCATAAAATACACCAGTTACACCAATTTACAGTATTTTCCAATTGTGGTATAATTTATAATAATATTAATTGTACAATAACCAATTCATAGTTTCCCGCATTTTATATTGTTGTTCGACAATGTTTTTTAGTTTTTTGCCCCGAAATGCAACAAGTCTTCGGATGGAAGATGCTCGTTTGATCGCTTTCCTACTGATGCAGAGACTCTGGTTCAAACTCATATGATTATTCCATATAAACACCACATTTACCAGCTTAGTCACGGTGAAAGTGAAACTTTAACGATGCATAGTGCTTAAAGCCATGTTAAAAATAAATGTTTATGACCACATATTGTTAGAAAGCATATAGTCTGAGGATTTTCTAGAAGCAAGGGTAAAATAGCATTTTGTGTACCCACCCTAACAAAACGATGTCGCAATGTATTCACTAAAATAAGTTTAATCATACCATATTCAAAAACTCACTCACTCTGCTGTTATTTAATAGATTAAATGCACTAGATCTACGTCATAAAATACACCAGTTACACCAATTTACAGTATTTTCCAATTGTGGTATAATTTATAATAATATTAATTGTACAATAACCAATTCATAGTTTCCCGCATTTTATATTGTTGTTCGACAATGTTTTTTAGTTTTTTGCCCCGAAATGCAACAAGTCTTCGGATGGAAGATGCTCGTTTGATCGCTTTCCTACTGATGCAGAGACTCTGGGTTCGGACCATAAGGTAAACTCATATGATTATTCCATATAAACACCACATTTACCAGCTTAGTCACGGTGAAAGTGAAACTTTAACGATGCATAGTGCTTAAAGCCATGTTAAAATGAAATGTTTATGACCACATATTGTTAGAAAGCATATAGTCTGAGGATTTTCTAGAAGCAAGGGTAAAATAGCATTTTGTGTACCCACCCTAACAAAACGATGTCGCAATGTATTCACTAAAATAAGTTTAATCTTACCATATTCAAAAACTCACTCACTCTGCTGTTATTTAATAGATTAAATGCACTAGAATTTTATTGAATGTTACATGGAGAAATTAAAAACGTGTCTCCTTAATCAAGGATTTATTGATTTTTAATGCACCTTATTTCAAACTGTACAGTACTGATTATTTCATTTATTCACTATACTATTTATTACTAATGTCTCATTTCAGTTTTAGTTTGGCTCTAGTTTTGTATTTATTCCAGTTTACATGAAAAGGTTAAAGTAGCGTGGATTAAAATTCATATACAGAGTAAATCCCTTTCACTGAACATGTTAAAATAAGTTTGATAAAGTTGTGGGAAGCATGGTGGTGGTGACGTTGAAGGGGAGCGACCGTGGTGCTGTAGTTCGTTAATAGCCTAAGTTTAGCTTTTAAGTTCTGGCACTATTATTTAGGCTTCAAAATTCATAAAAGTTATATTATTTAGATTATCTTGATGGACAAAACGTGCAAGTTTCATGAACTATGATTGAACACAGAGCTTATTTTTAGCGATAATCCAAAAGCCTTTGGAAAAATCCTATTGGCTTTTTCTCGAGGGAACCAGTGTCATGCTAACAGCCGATCTGCCTACAAAGTGACGTCATAGTTGCCCCACTCTATATCAGGGGTTTTCAAACTTTTTGGAGCCAGGGACCCCTTACAGGGGAGAGGATTTTCCAAGGACCCCCTCATAATTATAACAGTGTTTAAGGCTAAAGTTTAATGTGGGTATGTGGAATGAACATAATATGATGGTGCAAATGGTCCCCATTGTATATGTACTTCTTAATACTACAGCATAATATAATAAAATTTACCATATTTTCCGGAAAGTTGCACCAGGGGGAAAAAAACAAAACATAAGTTGCATCAGTGTGTAAGTCGCATTTTACTATTAATTTCAAAAATAATTGAAATAGGCTACTGAATAGGTCTAAGTAAAACGAATGTTAGGAAAAAACATTATAAACACTAACATGAATTTAACTTCACCTCACTCCAAATCGTTTAAATTTAGTGGCATTCATAACAGAACAAAAATAAATGCATGTATAAAAAAAATTACAAACAACATTTATTTTAAATACTATGTCCATAGGTGCCGATCCCGTGAAAAACAAGATAGTCTCCTTTCATTTTAACCAATAAGAAATGGATTGCAGCTTTTACGACTTTATTCTCGCATTTATAGTTCATTTAAGGAAGTTTTTGGCGTTATTTGAATGGCAAATGTCGAGAGTGCATTATTGTGATACGAGAGGGCGCCAGCACAAATCTCTCTTGCAGCGGGCTTGATCGGCTATATAGTGATCATGGCGCTACACTCCCTCAGATATTAAGTGTTTTATTAAAAAATAAAAATGCTTGTTTTTTGCATCCACCGACAGAAAAATAAATCAACGCCTATGGCTATGACCATAACAAACCAAACTTACTTACTAAAACTGAAACGTAATCACGTAGTGGGCTCTATTAGGCTACTTATTATGTAAAGAAGGCTTTGTACTTCTCTCGTGTCTGAATATCTACTAACAGTATCCTTTGAAAGGTTTCTCTCCAGTATGTATTCTTATGTGGACATCGAGATGTTGTTTACATGTAAAACTTTTTCCACATTGAGAGCATGTGTAAGGCTTTTCTCCTGTATGAATTCTCATGTGGTTTTTAACACTTGTTTTTCGAGTGAAGTTCTTTCCACACCGTTTGCAGGTGAAAGGTTTCTCTCCGGTGTGAACTCTCATGTGGACATCAAGTTTTTTCTTATGTGTAAAGCTCCTTTCACATTGAGAGCATGTGTAAGGCTTCTCTCCAGAATGAATTTTCAAGTGGTTTTTAAGGCTTGATTTCCGAATAAAGCTCTTTTCACATAGTTTGCAGGTGTAAGGCTTTTCTCCGGAGTGAATTCTCATGTGCCTTCTAAGAGTTTCTTTAAGAGTAAAACTTATTCCACATTGAGGGCATGTGTAAGGCTTTTCTCCAGCGTGAATTCTCATGTGCCTTCTAAGAGTTTCTTTAAGAGTAAAACTTATTCCACATTGAGGGCATGTGTAAGGCTTTTCTCCAGCGTGAATTCTCATGTGCCTTCTAAGAGTTACTTTAAGAGTAAAACTTATTCCACATTGAGGGCATGTGTAAGGCTTTTCTCCAGATCGGCGAATAATGATTATGAAAGAATGATCGCTATAGCAACAAACGCTACTTTCATGCATCTGATTATCAGATAAACCTTGTGCTCTTATTTCAAGGTTGTTGTTAATGCTGTGGTTGTTTTAACAGTTTCCTTCATACATTCGGTTCAACGACATTGTTAAAACACATTTATCATCAATGGAACTGTGCGTATGCTTTAGACACTTAAATTTTTGCTCTGTCCATGCAATAAATGGGCAGCCTTCGACTGCTCAGGTAATGTCGTCGGTATGACCAAGAGCTATTGAAAAACTACAGAAAAGTAAAACTACTTCACTTCAGCATTACTGGCCACGAGTACTAAGGAGAGATCACACATCAGCTGCTCAAAAAATGTGTCAGTGAGACAAACTGAGTGCGAGCGCACATTCAACACTGTTCAAGGTCTCCAATAATTCATGCTTGTAGTAATTTAATGTATATATTTTGAAAGCATTGAATCGCTATAGAAATCGCGATTCATTCGATTCTTAGCATTTTAAATCGATTACTGTCCGAAATCGGCGATTCACGATTCAGAAATCAAGATCGATGCATTGCATCGTCAGGGTTTGTAATCAATGCAGCGAGAAAACGAGTGACTCCCCAAGTACTTAGACAATGAAGGCTATTAAAGAAAAAAAATCTAAGCCAGAATTTTTGTGACTGTGATAAAAATAATGGATTAATCAGTGGAAGATTGCTTGAGTCTGAGTTTAAGTCTAGACTTTTCAGTCAAACATACACATGATGTTATTTGTGACATCTCTGATTTTTGTAAAGATTTATTTTTGGCGTTTTTGCCTTTTACTAGGATAGGACAATATTGTAGACAGGAAGCAAAGTGGGAGACAGAGGGTGGTGGGATCGGGAAAGGTCCGCAAGCCGGCACTCAAACTCAGGATGCCCAAAAAGCAACGGTGCTAAATGTCGGCGTGCTGCCCATGAGACAACCTGTGTGCCGAAGCCATGCACTAAATATTAATATAGCAAATTTGCTTTATCATGTAATAGTTTAGAAACTAAATAATGCTAAAACCTTTAAGATTTTAATGCAAGATTGATTCAGTATATACATATCTTTGTTTTCAAGTGGATGAATATTTTGGTACAGCACTGCCCACATGCCCACAGACGAGCCACAGCTTAACTGATAGAAATGAATGGTTTTCAATTCAGTTTAATGTTACACAAAATATATTTGTTTAGGAAATGCATAGTACCGTATTGGCCAGAATATAAGACGACCCTGATTATAAGACGACCCCCCTTTTTCCTGATGTAAAAAGGCTTTTTAAAAACCAAATCATGTTTTTTCTCAGTAAAACACATTTTGTCTTCAATTATTTTCATATTGCATATTTTTCCTATTTTAATTTTTGTTTTGAAAGTATGGTAAAAACTGGTAAAAATGTACCAACAATCACATTAAAAATATATACACTTTTTGATATACCATAAAAAATAAAAACAAAATGTGACGAGAAAGAGAAGAGAAAATGGCTGCAGTTGATAAGGTAAGTTACAAATCTTAAACGAATGAAGAAACTTTTGGTGCTAGTGGGTGCTAACGTTAGCTTTGGCAACAGTCTATGGACAAGCCGAAGATGTGCCTAAGATACGTAGCATAGAAAACCATTAGACCAGTTAAAGTATGATAATCTGCTAACGTTTCTCATTTTTATAATAATTGAGCATTTTGGAGGAAGCCCGAGATATAAGATCAGAATCATGTTTAATGGCCAGGTATGTTTATTTGACTCTGTTCTTACATTGCTCTCAGTGTACATACACAGATCAAGCAAAAACAAACAAGGACAACAAGCTAAATAAATACAGACACAAACTACAGTGTACAGTACACACACCAGAAACAAAACATTTGTAGACAGCAATTATTGCCAATGACTGCTTTACTGTTATTGTAGTGTGTTCACATGACAAATAATTTAAGTAATGATATTTCAGTCATTTATTAATTATTTTTATTATTATTATTATTTTACAGACGTGAAAACTTCACCCCAAACTGCAACTCCAGGGTGTGCAGTTGGCATTTCCCTAATGGAAAAGCTGCTGGGCCCTCGAGAATTGCTTGGAACGAGGGGAAGACTTTCCAATTCCCTGACCACCTCAGCCATCTCCCTAAACGGAAGAAGTGGTGAGGATGAGGGAACGGATGCTGACATGGTAACTGCAGATACCCCTAGTACTTCAAAAAGTCTTTTGGCACTTGAGGTGGAGAATGTCATGCTGAGGGAAGAGAATGACAATTTGAAAAAACAATTGGAGAAACAGAAGCAAACTTTTTCCTTCAGTCAAATTTCTTCAAGCCCTGAGAGAGTTCAGTATTTCACTGGATTACCTGATGCTGCCACTGTCCTGTTTTGGAAGTGCTTCTTTCTAAATTCGACCTACAATATCATTCTGATTGGACTGTCCAAATGATGCCCCTAGTTGATCAATTGCTCCTGACCTTAATGAAGCTTAGACTTAATTGCGGCCAAGTAGACCTTGCAACAAGGTTTAATTGTAGCACAGCCACAGTAACCAACATCTTCATCACCATCATTAGTGCCCTGTATGATGTTTTGTATGTCGGTTTGCTTGAGAACAACATCCCCTCCACAGCCAAGAATCAAACATCGCTGCCAGACTGCTTCCAGACCTTTCCTAACTGTAGGATCGTGCTTGACTGCACAGAGGTTGCCGTCTCTAACACAGAAAGGCTTGACACACAGTGTCATATGTACAGCCAGTACAAAGGACGGACCACACTTAAGGCTTCAATCGGTGTTGCGCCTAATGGTGTTATTACCCTTGTCAGTGACCTGTACGGTGGGAGTGCCTCAGACAAGGCAATGTTTTTTTCCCCCTGTTTTCATTACGAACTCCAATATCTTGTTGTTGGATGTGTAGGTAAGATTGGTTTGGCTGCTTTAAACTTTGGTGGGTGAGGAGGTCCTATATTATTGAAAATATGGATTTTGATTTGATAAAGTTCACGCTGTCACCTTCTTTGGAGGAATTCAACTGTTGTCGAAAAAAAGATCTGCTTTTAATAGCTGACTTTTATAATATTTCAGTTTCTAGAGCCACACGTAAACAAGCGATAAAAGAGGAGTTGTATAACAAGTTAGTAGAGGCAGGTATTTTCCCAGAACAAACACTAGAGCAAGGGGATGAAGCTGACATTGGCACAGAAGATGACTCAAGCTCAGTAGCTAGCAGTAAAAATGCAGCTTCTGTAGATCCTCGGGTAGCTCTGAAATTAAAAGAGCTTGATCTTGCATTAAGAAAGCAGGAGCATGAGTCACAGCTGCTTCGGCTGAGAGCTCTTGAAATCCAAGCAGATCGTGACATTAAGTTGAAAAGATTGAGTTAGAAGTGCAAGCTCTGATTCCCGATTCCTATACCTCGTTCTAGGCCACCTTCCTCTAGTGATAGCGTTGCGCCTAAATCTGAATTTGATGTTGGCAAATACGTCAAATTAGTACCACCTTTTTGCGAATCAGAGGTAGGACTCTTATTTTGTTGCTTTCGAGCGTGTAGCCGCAAAGTTGAATTGGCCAAAAGACATGTGGGCTTTACTGTTGCAGTGTAACCTCGTTGGCAAAGCACAAGAGGTATGTACTGCTTTGCCAATTGTGGAGTTGTTGGACTATGACACTGTGAAAACGGCTGTGTTGAGGGCATATGAGTTGGTGCCGGAAGCATATCGACAAAAGTTCAGGGAGTGTTTAAAGCAAGCCAAACAAACTTATGTTGAATTTGCAAGAGAGAAAAAAATGCTTTTTGAATAGTGTTGTCTTGCTAGTAAGGTTACCACATTTGAGGAATTGCAAGAATTGGTCTTACTTGAAGATTTTAAAACTTGTGTACTGGAAAACGTTGTTGTTCATTTAAACAAACAAAAAGTGTCAAAGCTTTCTGATGCGGCGGTGCTTGCCGATGAATTTGCACTTACTCACCGAACTGTCTTTTCCTCTGTGCATCATTCTAAAACTTCCATGGCTACAGAGTCTATAGTTCAAGATGCACTTAGAGTGAATGTCAACAAGACTAGTGGTGGAGGGAAGTCGCTCTCAAAGAGCTTTTACTGTCTCGATCCTGGCCATATGATCGCGGACTGTAAGGCGTGGAAGCAGAAGGCTAAAAATGCGAAACATAAAAGTGTTGCGTTTGTACAAACAGTTCCTGATTTGTTTGCTGCTGACACATCGTCCTATGGTCCCTTTCTTCTGACAGGTTATGTGTCACTAGCTGGTGTCTTTGCAGATAAGTGTGTGCAGGTTCTGAGAGATACTGAGTCGGCTCAATCCTTCGTGCTTGAGGATGTTTTGCCCTTCTCTGATGCGTCATATACGGGCGCAAATGTCCTTGTGTGTGGTATCGAGATGGGCTGCATTAGCATTCCGTTACACAACGTTAACTTAAAGTCTGACCTTGTTACGGGCTTGGTTCAACTGGGTGTGTGTAAATAGTTGCCCGTAGACAATGTCGGCCTCGTACTGGGACCTTGCCGGTGGTAATGTTTTTCCCAGTCCAATAGTCGTAAGCAAGCTAATAGTCTGTGATTCCCCTGATCTCTCTGCGACGTATCCTTTAGCTTTTCCAGCATGTGCGGTTACGCAATCTCAGTCAAGAAGCTTTCAAGATGTTGTTGATCTCTCTGATTCTTTCCTGAGTGTGCAACCTAAGGGTGCAGGTTATCTGTTGAGAGTGAAATGGTCTCTGAGCATGACTCCCAACTTCCAGTTGAACTTCATTCCATAGCGAGTAGGGAACATTTGGCTGCTGCCCAGAAGTTAGACCCTACACTTGTAAACTGCATTAGTGCTGCAGTTGACAGTCGTGATCTTTTGTTGGCAAAGGTAGCATACTTTTGGGACGATTCTGATCTTCATTAATTTCTGATGCGCAAGT